CAAAGGATGCTGTTCTTGAGTCTTGGCCTCTTTGAGGACTTGGTCTGCAGGATAAGGTGTGATGCTTCTAGCAAAGGTCCTCACTGCTGTTCCCTGATGGGAAGAGCTGCCCCTTAAGCTGGCGAGGGGCTGGCCCCAACGGCTGCACCCACCTACCAGCGTGGTGGTGGGAGATGCACGAGGACACGAGTGTTGTACATGGTGGGGATTAATCGGTCCCTGGAGGTTAGAGCTGGACTTTAATGCCAAGAGGGCTCATACAGCTCCGCAGCTGAGCTGGGCATCACTGGGAAGCATCGTGCTCTGTGGGTGTCTGGATGTCTCCTCAGAGCTGGCTGCCGAGGGGGGGTGGGGTAAGCGCTGCCACAGCAGACGGTGACAGATGCTGGTGGGATGATGGGGCAGGAAGCAGCCTCTGCCTGCGGGATTCGCTGGGAGGGGGCTGGATGGGAGCCCCATATTGTTGCGGGGGGAGGCTTGTGCCCATTGCAGGGTAGTCCCATGTCCCCCGAGCCCGCATGGCCAGGAAGTCAGATGCTTGGAGGGGAGACGGAGCTTGGTCAGGCTCCAGGTTGACTTTACTCAACTTCATGGAGAGAGGAGCTCCAGGAGCTCTCAGCAAACCATCTGGTGTTCGGGCTGCGCGGCTCTGGCAGCCAGGGCTGCGTGGGAACGGGCACGTCGTGTGTCGGAGCTGCTCCACGTCCTGCCCACACAGCCACAGGCTCTGCCAGTGCCCCACGGCACAGCCCATCCTCATCCCCTGCTCAGCCACCGACCGGGCACTGTGAGGCCAGTGGTGCCAGGCAGGGTTTGTGTTACCTCTTCTTTGCCCCATCTTTAGAGGGCAGCTGGACATCATGGTGTGGGGTTAAGCAGCTGCTGGGGTGGAGAAAGGCCTGGAGGTACCAGCCCTCTCCATGCCTGGTGCGTCAGATCCGTGTTTTCCCTCCCAGGGGCAGCCATGGGCAAGCACAGCAGCAAGCTGGCCCCGGAGATGCTGGATGACCTGGTGAGGAGCACGGAGTTCAGCGAGCAGGAGCTGAAGCAGTGGTACAAGGGCTTCCTCAAGGATTGTCCCACTGGTATCCTCAACCTGGAGGAGTTCCAGCAGCTCTACATCAAGGTGGGCTCCATTTGGGGGGTTGAGGGCTGCCTCCAGGGGTCCAACTGTAGCTTCCCCTCCTCACTTCAACCTCTCTCTCCTCTCATCCCTGCAGTTTTTCCCCTATGGAGATGCCTCCAAGTTTGCCCAGCACGCGTTCCGCACCTTCGACAAGAACGGTGATGGGACCATCGACTTCAGGGAGTTCATCTGTGCTCTGAGCGTCACCTCCAGGGGCACCTTTGAGCAGAAACTCAACTGGGCCTTTAAGATGTACGACCTGGATGGGGATGGGAAGATCACACGCTTGGAGATGCTGGAGATCATTGAGGTACCGGTGCTTAAAAGCAGCAGGGGTAGCTGACTTTTCCCAGGCTTTTCCCAACTGTTGGGTCCTTTTGGCACTAAAGGATGACTTTTCCTGCCCAGAGACTTGTCTGAAAGGTACCCAGTGAGTACCTGATGTAACTGTGCAGCAACATAGCTCATGTTGGGTCCCAGCAGAGCAATGATCCTGTCCCCTACCTTGTCCTGGAACCTTTTGTCCATCCAACATTCCCATTCTTGTACTTTGCTTCTCTTGTTCCTCCAGGCCATTTACAAGATGGTGGGGACTGTGATCATGATGAGGATGAACCAAGATGGGCTGACACCCCAGCAGCGCGTTGACAAGATCTTCACAAAGATGGACAAGGACAAGGATGACCAGATCTCCCTGGAGGAGTTCAAGGAGGCAGCGAAGAGCGACCCCTCCATCGTCCTCCTCCTGCAGTGTGACATGCAGAAGTAGAGCCCTGGGGGCTTGTGGCTGGACTTGGCTGCAGCCAACGTCTGCTTCCTGGGATGGGTTTTCCACATCCCTATTCCTGATGAGTGTCCCTGTACCTGCTTTGCCCCAGGCATGAGCCATGCTCTGTCCTTCCTTCCTGCCACCCATCCCGCCTGCATCTTCAGCAGCCTGCGGTCCATGGGCTGTAGCTCTCCCTCAATGGGTAGAGCCTGCTCTGGGTATTGTGGGCTTGAGGTTACCCCCAAATCCACCCTCTCCCATCCTGGAGCTGGACTCCCTGCAGCCAACAGTGTGTGTCCTGCTATCCCAGGACCAGTTGTTCCCATGTCCCTGCTGCTTTCTCCCAGCCTGGCCTGTTCCTTGATCCTAACTGAAACCAGC